ATCTATTATCAATTCATTTATCAAAAAATATTGAAAAAGTCCAGTGAACAAAATTTTTGTCTTTCAGCTACTTTTGGATTTTTTAATAACACTTTTTTTATAAAATAATCTCCTAAATTTCATTTAGTATTGAGAAAAAAAATATTAAATAGAAACTGAAATACAGAATAATTAATATTAACTGTATTTATGATATATTCATATAAAAAAGCTATAAAAAATATATTAATTATCCCATCATAAGAGTTAAACAGTTAAATATTATGCATGGATAAAGACACCTGATGCTGAATAATAACCGTAAATTGACAAATTCAGGTAGAAAGAAATTATATTATCGAAAGTTTCATTTATCATAGAGAAGATTATTCTGGAAAAGCTACACAAGAAAAAAAAAACTTTTTTTTCAGTTTTGTTTTCTTAAATTTTGAAAATTTTGTCAGCATAATCATTTTACTTTAAGCTTTTCAAGCTTATTCTTAAATATTATACGAAGAAATATCTGTCTTAAAAATTAACGCTTTTTGTCAACTAATATGTTTTTTTCCTTTCTATTGCAAATATTTAAGAAGTTTTTGCGACTTAAGGGTTACATTTTGCCCATCCATGGTCAGTACCCCTTTAAATATAGTCAAAAATGCAAGAATGAAAAAAGGTCACTGTATTTTTTAAATTGAAAGCGCTTGTAACCTAACAAGACGCCCGGTGGCTGAGTGGTAGCGTTTCACGCTCCCGTGCTACAAGTCCTGGGCTCGATCCTCGGACCGGGCAAGGTTGACTCAGCCATTCATCCCTTCAGTGGGTCGATAAATGAATACCAAGCATGCTTGGGAACTAAGCACGGGGGGTTTTGCATTCGGCTGACAAATAAACCGGAACATCTGCTCCTGTACCCCAGAGCCCAAGGTCAAGAAAACTGAGATGGGCACAGTATGCCTTGGTTCTCTATGGGCTGTCGCTCCACTGAGTTAAGTTTTGTTACCTAACAACGCTTATAACTAAATTTTAATATTTGAAATGTTACACACTGCTTTATTTAAGCTCATAAAAGCATGTAAAAACTTAATGTTATTTATTGATTAAAAGAATTTTTATTAAATAGTGAAACTCTCTTCAAAGTTAAGATTTTTTCAAAGAAAATATTTTTCGGTTAAAACCAAAGTTTCGTATTGAGCTGCAAACACGTAAGAAGTGTTAATTTCACAGCAGATAAAGTGCATCAAAAAACCTTTCTTAAGATATTCATATTGTATTTTTTTTTTTTTTAGAAAATCTTACCTTTTTTCAGTGTTCCGGAAAAAATTGTCTATTTACCTAACAAATTTGTTGTTGATTTATTTCTTTTTTTTTCTGAATACTCTACATCTTATATTCAATTAATATATTAAATATGATGCTTACAAGCATTTATTTCACCGAAAATGTATTTAGCATAAATATTAAACTCTCTAAACTCCTGTTTAAGAAATAAACCATTTCTCTTCTGTTCGGCTAACAGTAATTACTTAGAGGTTATTAACATTAAAACCATCATTATTATAATATGTACATAAATATGCTAACCATTAAATGAAAAGAAAACTATAACTACTATCATATTGTACTACTGTTATTTTATATCATAAATACTTCTATTTAATCACGTAGCAAGCAAAATAAATGACCAATATCAGCCAAGCACGAAAGATTTAAAAATTACGGGAATTAATTATTTCATTTCATCAGCTTATTTGTTAAATTCCATGCTTCGTCTAAGAAAATGCAAACGATTTATCAGAGAAAACTTGTTGGCGGGAAATTTCAGTAATCTTCATATTTCTCCCGGCTTATCAATGTAAAGACCTTTTCCATTCCCATACAAATATTAATCCATACAAAGAAAGAAAAAAAAACTGTTATTTGGAATAACGAAAGGTGCGCCTACACGTGGCTCTGAATACGATAAAACCACAATTAACAAATTAGCAGTTGCTCAGCTAGAGAAAATGGCGCATCGGCGCTGAGGCTCAGCCCCTAGCGCATGTATCGAAAACCGATTAAACCCGCTGATTACTGTTCGGCGCAATTAATTACACACTAAGCAGAAACAAATTAAATCTTTTATGTAATTACTAACATACAGAGGAAAGTATAAGCGAACGCGAATTTGTTTTGGAAACAAGGGCGTGGAACACTTTTCCTTCTATCTTTTCCTTTCTACCGATTTAATAAGAAGAAATTATGATCGTTTAGGGAATATTTAGCAGCTTCCAGAAAGGTGCATTATCGGCAGAGGAACGAATGGCTAAAGTATTTTTTTTAAACCAATTTCATTTTATTTTAAGCAGCATGGCTGGATGATTGCGATTGCAGTGTTTTGAAAGTATTAATTATAAATACTTAAAATTTTCCTAATTATTATATTCGCTTTAATCCTTTTTCGAAATAATGAAGATTGCTTCCAATTTATCGATAAATAAATCTATATTTAGATAATGCATTGGCTTTCACTATTGGGTGTTAATTAGTTCAGGAAATAATTAGTATGTGTTCGATATAAATTATTTCAACAGTTAAAACTTAAAAATTAAACATAAAATTGCATTTAAAAAAAACTAATGTTAATCATGACACCTTTATTAAAAGTATAAATATTTATACATGCAAAAGTGGCTTTTTTAATATTCTTTTTTTTAACATTTCTGAGGTTACCAGGCTATTGAATGCAAGTGAAAATGTAGCTTTTACTGTTATGAAAGAATGTATCTATATAGGGTAAAGGTTATAAACGGCTTTCTATCCATATATGCAGACTCAGACTTATAAATAGTCACCCTATGAAAGAGATTTCTAGTTTGAGTTTGTATGTAAAGTCCTTCAAATCTTACTAATATGTATGCATTTATTTATGCATTTTTATTTTTTTCTTCGTGATTTTAAATAAAAAAATATCTAATATATTTTTAATAGTTACATAATATAATTTTTTTAATGGCTCAAAGAAATTAAAATACTATCATTTTTTTATAAAGCTCCTTGTATATTCTGAGTTTGTGCTTCTAACGTTATTCCAAATATTATTATTCGTAAAGTGTCTATTTTTTTCCTAGATGGTAGAACTCAATTTTAAATATTATTACCAATCATATTATACAACGTCAACTTAATGCTCACTTTTTATTATTTTCTCTTCTCAGTAATTTGGTTAATTATTAGATTAGTCATTCTATTTTCAACGCATGTATATTTTAATTTATATCTGTAATCTCATCTATTTCTTCCTTCATTTTAAAGTCATTTACAATTACTTTTTCTTACATTCATTCTATACTCTTATTTCAAAATTTACGTTTATCCCATGAAGTTTTATTATATTACTATTATATTACTATTATTACTATTATATTACTGTTATATTAATATTATATTACTATTATATTACTATTTTATTACTATTATAATACTATTATATTACTATTATATTACTATTATATTACTAATTCTATGTTTCTAATATATATAGTCGATGTATGCGTAGTAAGATAGAAAGCTTACATAATATGTATCGTAAGAAATTAGTTCCCCCATTTTTTAATGCTTACAAGTTAACAAAATTTATTTAAGAACTCCTATTTAAAAGGAAAATCCTATTTTCCTCAGAAATGCTCTTTCTTTTCAAATCTTAAATCTATTTTACCTGCATGAACACTACAAATGTAAGGAAGGCACTTTTACAGAAATTACCTTAGTTTCCTTGAATTTAGATGCTAATTTTTCACATTTTTATCGATCAGCTGATTAATTTTGTTATATTTACTGATTTACTACTGGTTATATTGTATGATATCACCATATTGCCAATAAACAAATTACTTTGTTTACCAATTATTACAACTATTTTTTGACATTATTGTTGAAGTAACTGAATAAAAAGTACAATAAAATAGTATTTTAGAATTTTCCTAAACCATTGCTTCCGATCTCACATACTACACTCTAAACATGTCAACAGCTAAAATTTTTTAGAGTAATATTTATTCCATGAGATGAATCAAAGTACTATCGATACTATATAAGACTAGCTCATGCTCCCTTATGAGATTAAATGCCGATTTAAAGTGATGTGGGAAAATACTAATTGAGCTCAACAAATTCAACCCATTTTTACAACCCATTTGTAAATTACATATTATTAAATTTGATTTAATAATAACATTAATAGTAAATCTTAGATAACTTTAAATTAAATTGCATTATATTGTATTCCTTATGATTTTATTCCAGATAAAAATTTTTGAACAGTTAAATTTTTTTTTTTGATAAATTAATGATTGCATTATAATGCTTCATTTTTTTCATGTAAAAGAATGAAAATAAAATATTGAACCATATGGGTTTTTAAATGCTGCTCTTAATTAATGATTTTTAATTACGCTTTTGGCAATCTGGTGATCTTTGTTTTCTCAAATAATAGCAAATATCGCTGTTAGAAAATATGTAACGTATTAAGTCTACTTATTTATAATGTATAGAATCTAAAATTGATTAAATTTGCACTGTTTATTAATCAAGTATTTATTTTACTCTTGTCGCAATTTCCTAATCGAATTTCTTAGTTATTTTTATAAATCATCACATACTGGAAACATAAATCTTATTCACCTTGCATTGTTGCAACAGATTTTAAATTAATACCCCCAAATTCCAGAAGGACGGCAACATTTATTTAATAAGCAAATGCAAAAATTATGTTTGCTCAGATTTTTATTTAGATTTAGCAATAGATTATCCTAAACAAATAATGTGAATCGAATTTTTTTTGAAATTATTTGCATGTCTAATTGTTTCAAATTTGTAATAAATAAAAATAAATAATAATTAATAATTTTGATTGAGTTTAATGACATTACCAGCAATAAGTTTTGATTAATTGAAGAACATATATTTATTTTATATTTAGGAAATAATTTACTTATTTTACTCTATTACAGCATTTTCTTAATTTTTATTCCTTTTTCTAGGTCCTGATTTCTGGGGTCTTTTAAATCCAGAATGGAACCTTTGTAGCAAAGGGCATCGACAATCACCAGTTGATGTTGATCCAAATAAACTTTTATACGACCCCTTTCTGAGAGTCATTCACGTAGACAAACACAGGGTAAGTTTCAACAATTTTCCAAACTTCGTTCTAAAAAAAATATCAATACACAAAATAATACCCAATTTCCACAAAAAATTTCTTTATTATTGACACGAGCGAAATTTTAAGCAAATAAACTTTCCAAGCGAAGTTTTAAACAAATTGATATTATTATTGTACAGGAATTATTATTGTTTGAAGATACAAATTATTCGATTTATTTAGGCTTAATGAAACAAATTGCTTTACGCAATTGATTGAGAATTTAGACATAAAGGAAAAAATAATATGTGTGAGTGAGTTTTCACCTCTTAACAATATTATTATTTTCAAAAAAAAACGGTCATAAAAGTTTTCAAGAAAATTATATTAAAAATTTTTTATCTTCTATCTATGTATTTATTTTTATTTTTGTACTTTTTTTAGCTTGAAATTAAAATTCCATATGTCCATGTAACTCTGAATCCACAACGTACACAAGAATAAAAAATATTTTATCACTGCACACAAACCACATGCTCTAGCCTGGAAATATCATGGCATGAGAGAAGGGAGATGAAAACTCCCCCCGTGATTTTGACGGGATTGAGAGTGAAGGGGTTTATCATAGCCAGTAATTGAAACCGGGAAATACACAGAACAAGTGAGTGCCCTAACTTCTGTATCATCCCGTCATGCTCTGAAAACGACTTTAATATCAGATGGAAAAAAATATTGCTGAACTAGCATATTGTAATTAAAAGAACCCACAAATGAGGAAATAGTTTCTTCAAATATTTCAGAGTTCTCGTTTTTTTAACAAATGTGTGATTTCGGGAGAATAAATTGACAAAAAATATCCAAATATATGTCAAGAATTGCTAAATTGCAGAGGATGATAGTTTTTTTACTAAAAGTACCGAAAAATACTTTAAAATAGAATATCGCGTTTCTTACACGAGGCAAAAAATATTCCTGGTAAAGAATATGTAGTGAGATGTAATTTTAAATCATGCTTCTAAATTTTTAATTTTAATACTTTTTATATGCATTCAAAAAGGTAATGTTATCTTATATTACTTAAAGATTTGTTTTATTCTATTAAAGAACTTTTTAAGACTCATATTGTCAGAAAAATAATTCAAAAACATGGTTATCGCAATAGAAATTTCTAGATAAATTATCGTTTGGTTAACCAAATAAATAATACTTGGACTCTAATATTTATTTGTTCGATATTTTTGCATTTTATTTTTTTGTTTATTAATTTAATTTCCCATTTCAATTGTACCAGTGATTTTTTTTTTTACTCAATAAAGTGTTGTTTTTCTGTGATGTGACTTTAAAAAACGTTCTGATCATTTTTTCTGACGTTTACTGAAAATCTATTTTTAACTACACATTTTCAAGAAGTTGTTAGTTCATTCACTTTTTACTTAGATTTAACATTAAGTTTGAGAATTCTTAAAAACCAATCATTTTGAAACGGTGAACTAAAATATCTTTCTGCATGTGGGAGTATGTTATAAATATTTACTTTTTGGAATTATAAAAAAAAATACTCACGCTTTAATTCTTTAAAATTTGAATGTACAAATTCTTTCAAAACTTGTTCCAGCTATGTAGTGTAGTTTATTAAAAATAATTTAATAAAGTTGCAATTTCTTTTTAATCTTAATCTACAAATCTAATCAAAACAATAATTTCTTCACTGTTTTCAGCTGATGTAAGAAAATGTACATTTATCGGCAATTTTTCAGAATCTTTTCAAAATACCTGTTTTTCCATCGAAGGAAATAACTTATTTTTGTGTACATTTTATTTCACATGTCTTACAGTGAATAGATTTGATTCTCTTCAACATGATTAAAAAAATACTTCTCCTTTGATGTCAAAAATTCCAATTCAATAAAAAAAGAAAATGAAAAATGATCGCGGAAAAAAAATTAGGATGGAAAAGTGAATTGGTAGGAAAAAAATAGTAAAAGGAAAAGCAATCTTAATAAAAGAGAGATTAAAATCCAATTCGTCAGAAGATAGATTAGAAATTGCAGATTTTCAAGTTAAGGTTTGATTGTCTCATGGCTACCTATATTTTGTAAACTTCTTTCGTTTCATAAAATCCTATTTTTTAAATAAATTTTCACTTACTAAGCAAATCAATTTCAGATATATAATCATTTCAAAGTGGTTTTCCATGTTATGTCCAAATCTATCCTAATGGTCATCTGCGTATTTTAAGTAAATTAGTCTAACTGTTCCTTTGATCAGCGGTTACCAAAAAGCGTTCCTTGGAACTCTATGGTTCCATGAAATGGGTTCAGGGATTCCGAGAGTTAAAACCGTGTTGTTGTTTTTTAACCAGTTATGATTTTTGAAACGCGTAATTTATTTAAATGCAATCAAAATTTCAGAATTTATTTAATTTTGTATTAATATTTGCAAATTTATTGCAATAAAATAATGAAAAATGAAATAGAAAACTGTTTTTTTTTAATATAAATTGGACAAATTATTAAAAGAATATGCTGCAAAAACAAACATGGATATAAAAAAATGCTTCAGGATTTCCCATCAAACTTTTTAAAATAAAGTAAACTGAATCCAAGAATAAAGAATTATATTTCTTTTTCAATGCTCATAATAGTTCATTTTCGAAAGCCATAATTCAGCTTATTTCATTCCATTTCAACTTATGCATATTCCAATAGAAACAAATTCAGAATTAAATGTCACTTCATATCTGTTAATTCAACTAGCGCCACGCTAAACCTAATTTTAAGACTATTACTTGCAAAAGAAATTCATTTTTCATATTAAATATTTAAAAAAAAACAGTTCTTTCTAGTTGTATAGTTAGGGTTTCATAGCAGAAAGAAATTGAGATCCGCTGCTCAACGCTGGTAAACATAACTACTAGAATATGATAAATCTAGCTCTACGAGAACACCGAAAAACATGGTAAGTTACGCCGAAGTTCTTTGGAAATAATTTTGTAAAATTAACGATAAAATATTGCCTTATAATATGCGATAAAATTTGATAAATGTAATAAAATTAGTACTCTACGTGTGTTTGTGTAATAACAATAAAATTAAGAGAATATAAGGAGTTCAGCACTTGCTTTCTCAGATTCGACCTGTCTTCTCTTCCAAAATGCTTTAGAAGTAGTTTAACATGTTACATAATACCATTTTTCCACTTATTTTTCTGTTATGTTCATAGCTTATTTTCTTTTTTTTTCAATTAGTATCTATTACCAAAATTATTAAACAGTATTGGCGTCAATATTAGTCTGGCAATCTGTCGCGCTTCTCTTAATCGATTTAATACTATTTTTTCATTAGTTTTACTTCTTACTGCATGGTTAATTTTTTGCCTCAATTAATACCTATTATCAAGTTTTACTCCTTGATTTAGAATCTATTTGCTTTAGTTTTAAAAGTTACTGAATGAATCAGTGAAAAAAAGGATATCTTAGCCACTAACATTAGTATTAAGATATTACTACATAACACGTTGCAGGTTGATAAACTATATTTTATTGAAACGTATGTTTCTTATTTTTCCTTCTAATATTAGCATATGATAAGCTATATGTAGGTGATGTCTTTTAATATTTCGCTTCAGTAATTTTAGACTTAATGCAATTAGAAAGTTAATATTTTTCTTACATAAAGTAGCTCGAAACGTAAAAAATGCTATTAAATTTATTTGTTATGATGATTAATCTATAAAGATAAAGATAATCCATGAGCACTGGAATACGTTAAGGAACTTCAGATCTTATTTTATGTTTGTTGTTGAAGCTGCTAGGTTTGTTTTAAATATCGAAATTATAGCTAAGAAAATAAACTTTTTGATCAGTTTAAACTTTGTAAAGAAATGAATGTATTATCAATATACATATATTGGATTAATAGCTAATCCGCGCGATTGAAAGAGCGGTCTTAAAGTATTAGGGTACTAAAATTGGATTTTATACTTTTAAAATCAGATCAGTAGAACAAAAGTTATAAAGATTGACTTTTTGTTTTTTCTTATTACAGACAACTTTTAACAGTTAGCGTAAACACTTTTTTTACAGACAGTACAGACACTTTTTATAGTACAGACTGTATTAAGTTGAGTTACAGTTAGACTTTGTACAGCTAGGCGCTTTTTTCTTTAGTTTCATTAGAAAAGAACATAATTAGATAACAGTAAGAGCAATATTTTTTAGAACTTGAATAAGGAAATTAAGGGTAATTCCACACAAATAATTCATCGCGATCTAATATCATATTTTTATACTTGCAAATAAAATTATGCAAGCAAAACAATTATAGTAATATCAATGCATATATATCTTTTTTTCGAAGCTATTTCAACATAATTAAGATTATACACTATTCTTCGAATTATTAATACCTCAAAAAATGTCATTAAAATAAAGAAAACTCTTTAAGGTACGCAAACAATCAGCACACAACGCAATCACGTCGGCACACACATTAAATTCTGCAGCGCGTAAATAGCGTGTAGGGTAAGGTATTTTCTAAATGTTACTCAAAATATGTATTCGGAGGTATACCTTTTCTTCTAAAGAAAATTTTCGCGCATGCGCTGTGAAGCTCAATTAGCATGAGCTTTAAAGTTGACGGGAAAATGTCATCTTATTAAAAAGCTCTTCAATGTCACTAACAAGGGAAACTAGGGAAGTGTGACTCGCCAATTTTGAAATAAACTAGTGGGATGTATGCCTTATGAGGAATAATTTTAGGGGGCAACATTCGTTTCGGCCCATAGAATGTCCTGTGAGAGATAAAAAATAATTCAATATATAGAAAAATCGGTATTTTATTACTTCAATGCAGACTATTAGTTATTGTAATTGTCTCATAATCCAATTAATTTGTAATTAATTGGATAATTAATTAATTTGCTAATTAATAAATTAATTAACATTCGTTTCTGCCTATAGAAGGTCCTGTGAGAGATAAAAAATAATTAAATATGTAGAAAAATCGGTATTTTATTACTTCAATACAGACTATTAG